CAGAAATTAAGGGACTATGTAAAAAACCAAACTTACAAGACTTATTAAAGTGAGTCCTTCAATCTGAGAACAACATCAGACCACAGACTGAATCTAGGACACAGGATTGTACTAGCCAGGTACCAACCTAGGAAATGAACTCTTAAGGACTATGCAAAACCAAAAGAATTAACAACAGGGAACCAGAGAGGTTAATCTGTAAATGACAACAGCATCAGAACAATAAGAGGGAATAAACGGTGCAGGTATAGAACCTTCTAATGGAAAGGAAGGCAAGGCAATACCAAGTAGTAATAGACAGGTTCAAATCTAGGAAGATGAGGATACATTTCAAGGTATCCACAAAGAAAGTAACAACCTACTCATCAAAATAAAGATGAAAAACATAAAGTCTCAGTAAAAACAAAACCTGCAAACACAAAAGAAATGAAAAAAAGATCCACAAACGAAAGGAACTCAGCACAGGAAAGTAAGAGGAACAACGAAAACATCAACACCACAAAAAAAAAGCAATCCCACTCATAGGAATATATCCTAGAGAAATAAGAGCCATCACACGAATAGACATGCACACCCATATTCATTGCAGCACTGTTCACAATAGCAAAAAGATGGAAACAACCTAGATGCCCATCAACAGATGAATGGATAAACAAACTATGGTACATACACACAATGGAGAATTTTGCAATGATGAAGAACAATGATGAATTCGTGAAGCATCTCATAACATGGATGAAACTGGAGGACATTATGCTGAGTAAAATAAGTCAATCTCAAAAGGACAAATATTGTATGAGACCTCTACTGTAAAAACTCATGTAAAAATTTACACACAAAAAGAAACAATCTTTGTTGGTTACGAGGGATGGGAGGGGTGGGGCAGAACTAAATAGACAATAGACAAGTGGTAACTTGGGTGAAGGGTAAGACAGTACACAATACTGGGGAAACCAGCACAGCTTGTACAAGGCAAGGTCATGGAAGCTCCATAGACACTTCCAAACTCCCTGAGGGAATGAATTGCTAGGCGGAGGGCTGTGGGGACCATGGTCTCAGGGAACACCTAGCTCAATTGGCATAACATAGTTTATAAAGACAATGTTCTACATTCTACCTTGGTGAGTAATGTCTGGGGTCTTAAAAGACTGTGAGCAGCCATCTAAGATACTCCACTGGTCTCACCCCTTCGGGAGCAAGGGAGAATGAAGAGAACAAGGTACAAGGAAAAGATTAGTCCAAATGACTAATGGACCACAGCTGCCACGGCCTCCACCGGATGGAGTCCAGTACAGCTAGATGGTGCCCAGCTACCATCGCTGACTGCTCTGACCAGCATCACAAAAATAGAGGGTCCTGGACAGAGCTGGAAAAGGATGTAGGACAAAATTCTTAACTCACAAAAAGAAGACCAGACTTACTGGCCTGACAGACGGGAGAAACCCTGAGAGTATGGCCCCCGGACACCGTTTTAGCTCAGTGGTAAGGTCACTCCCGAAGTTCATGGTTCAGCTGGCGATTGGACAGCCTCATAAAACAAAATGGGACTGAGGCACAGCAGTCCAGGGACAAGGACTAGAAGGCAGGAGGGGACAGGAAAGCTGGTGATAGGGAACCGAAGGTTGAGAAGGGACAGTGTTGATGTGTCGTGGAGTTGTTAACCATTGTCATAGGACAGTATGTGTACTAACTGTTTAATGAGAAACTATTTGTTCTGCAAACCTTTATCTAAGGTACAAAAAAAAAAAGAATTATCTATGTGAGGTCAAATTGACAACAGCAACTCAAAAAAAAGTTTTGATGGGAAGCCTGGGGGCAGTGAGTTGATGATAATGGTGATAGAATTATTTGGAAAAGGATAGTGAGAATAGCAGCGCAACTGGAAGAATGTAATCAATGTCACTTAATTGTACATGTAGAAACTTTTAAAATGGTGTAAGTTTGGCTATGTATTTTTTCACCAAAAAAGGGGTCCTCCAAGGTCGAGAAGGGAGTGTTGGCATGTCATGGGGTTGTTAACCAGTGTCATAAAACAATATGTGTACTGACTGTTTAATGAGAAACTATTTGTTCTGTAAAACTTCATGTAAAGTACAACTTAAAAAAAATTAAAAAAAAAATGATGAAGTAAAAAAGGTGAACAGAAACTTTCAAAGGGTGTCCTGAGAAGACAAAGTAATGTATTATAATGACATGTGCAAAGACCTGGAGATAGAAAACCAAAAGGGAAGAACACACTCGGCTTTTCTCAAGCCGAAAGAACTGGAAAAAAAATTTACGCCTCTAGTTGTGATTTTGAAGGATTCTGTAGGCAAAATACTGAAGGACGCAGGAAACATCAAAAGAAGATGGAAGGAATACACAGAGTCACTGTACCAAAAAGAATTGGTTGATGTTCAGCCATTTCAGGAGGTAGCATATGATCAGGAACCAATGAAATTGAAGGAAGAGGTCCAAGCTGCACTGATGACATTGGCAAAAAACAAGCCGCCAGGAATTGACATAATACCAGCTGAGATATTTCAACAAACAGATGCAGCGCTGGAGGTGCTCATTTGTGTATGCCGAGAAATTTGGAAGATACGGGTTGGCGGGGCCAAAAAAAATCCATACTAACGTTTAAGTCAGATGCTCAATAGCTTCTAAATAATAGTGATGCTGAATTTGGGTGAAACAGAAAAATTAACTTCCATAGTCCTTTTACTGTCAGTTTTTGGTTAAATAACCACAGTTTTGTTAGATTGATTTGCAAAAATATTTAGAGCAAGATAGCTGTTATGCAACAGGATGAGTGTTCAATGAAACTTTGGGTAACTTTGATATAATTGATTTGGTAAAGCTATCTATTTTTCTGTTTCAGATTCCTTATCATTGAATTTTAAGACTATTTTTTCTTTATTATTTAGAGTATATATCTACTGTAGTTATAATGTTGTTGTTGTTAGGCGCCATTGAGTCGGTTCTGACTCATATTGACCCTGTGTACAACAGAACGAAACACTGCCCAGTCGTGCACCATCCTCACAATCATCGTTTTGCTAGAGCCCACTGTTGAAGCCCCTTTGTCAGTCCATCTCATTGAGGGTCTTCCTCTTTTTCACTGACCCTCTGCTTTACCAACCATGATGTCCTTCTCCAGGGACTGATCCCTCCTGATAACATGTCGAAAGTTTGTGAGACGTAGTCTCGCCATGCTTGTTTCTAAGGAGCATTCTGGTTGTACTTCTTCCAAGGCAGATTTGTTCGTTCTTTTGACAGTCCATTGTTTATTCGGTATTCTTCACCAACACCACAGTTGTAAGGCATCAGTTCTTCTGTCTTCCTTATTCATCATTCAGCTTTTGCATGCATATGAGGCGATTGAAAGCAAACCTTGTCTATGTTAGCAACTTTCAGGAAGCTGAATAAGGTCATGATTAAGAGCATGTACTGGCTATCCTCTTCCTAGCTGTGTGACCTTGAGCAGGGTGCTTAACCTTTCTGTGTCGATTTCCTCATCTGTAAAATGAGGATAGAAACCGACTTACTGCATAGGATCATGAGGTTTAAATGGATTAATGTATGTAAAGTGCTTAGAAGTACTAACATGTAGCAAACTCTCAAATACCCTGAAACTCGTTGTTGTTGAGTCGATTCTGACTCATAGTGACCCTGTAGGACAGAGTAGAACGGCCCCATAGGGTTTCCAAAGGAGCTACTGGTGAATTCGAACTATTGACCTTTTGGTTAGCAGCCAGATGCTTAACCGCTGCACCACCAGGGTCCCACCTCTCAAATACCAGCTCTCAATTATGATTATAATTATTTTCAGAGGTAATGTTTAGAGATTAGTTGCTTGTAAATGTGTTTACCTTGTATAACTGAACTATGGAATAGGACTGATTTTAGCTTGAATGTTGATTCCATCACATTTTGGGGCAAGTACTTTAATTTTTCTGTGCCTTCATTTTCATCAACAGAATGAGGATAATAAGACCTTGTTCCCAGGGTTATTGTAAGGGTTAAATTTGTGTTTGCAAAGATCTTAGCAAGAGTGCTTAGCTTAAAAATAAGCAGTTAGTAAATGGTGAAGGCAGCAGAGGTTGTAACTATATATGAGGCAGTAGTATATGACTATATGAGGCAATACACCTAACTCCTCACTTATTGACTATCTGGTTATCCGACGTTTCTCATTTACAACAACAGTGAAAAATTTACTATCTGACTGGTTTGTGCATTAACGATGTACATCTGGCAGTAATGAATGCCAGGGCGTGAGGCAAGAATGATGCTGGCTGTGTTAGTTAAGGTTATGTGTCAACTTGGCTAAGCCATGATTCTCAGTGGTTTGGCAATTATGTAATGATGTAATCTGACAGTTTTGTAATGATGTAGTCGTCCTCCATTTTGTGATCTGATGTGATCATGCTCCATTTTTGCATAACAACCTGGTCTTTGGAACCTAACCGTGTCGATAAGTGAGGAACGAATGTAGTGACAACTGGTTAAGAACAGGGACTCTGTAGTCACAGGGCTGGTGACTGCACAAACCATCTTCTGTAGTGGAGCTGTGTCATGGGGTTTTGGGAACTCAATAAGAAAATGCATGTAAATCAGTTAGCCTGGTACCTTGTTCGTAGTAACGGCTGAAAAATATGTAAGCTGTTATGTAGTAGTAATAATAGTTCCTCTTATCACTGAGTCGATTCCAACTCATTGTGATCCTAGAGGACAGAGTAGAACTGCCCCATAGGGTTTCCAAGGAGTGGCTGGTTGATTCCAACTGCATTCAGACTGTCAGCTTTTTGGTTAGCCACTGTAGCTTGCCATAGCTCTTAACTACTGTGCCACCAGGGCTCCAGTACTAGTAGTAGTGGAATAATAATGTTGATTCTTTACATGTTGTCCTTTAATACTTGATTTTCTATAAATACGTTAAGAGATTTCAACGCTTCACCTCTTTTGTTGAATAAATGTTTGTCTTTACCTTTACTGTTCCTTTTCATATTTCCGATCAGGGTTGTTAAAATGAGTCTGCGGAAACAAACCCCCAGTGACTTCTTAAAGCAAATCATAGGACGACCAGTTGTGGTAAAATTAAATTCGGGAGTGGATTATCGAGGTAACATTTTCATGTTTCATCTTTACTATTTTAACAAAATAAGGAAATATGACTTCATATTGATTTTTGTTAACCTCTTAAACATGCCCAATAGGCCAAAAAAAACATTGGTCATCAGTTTTTGTTCCCATCTTTTTCTTGCTCGGAGATGGTTCCTTTTAGAGATAACCCTAGCCCCTTAGTGTGTACCATATTTTTACACAAATAACTTGCGTTTTCTATGTTTGTTTGCCAACAGCCCCCACCCCCACCCCCAGCCAGTATTTTTTTTTTTAACTTGCAAAAAAAATTAGCATAGCATGCTTACGAAAATACCTCTCAGGGAGGGAATGGATGGCAAACAAATGTAGAAGGCGCATGTTATTTGCATAAAAATACAGTACTTCTGGTTTCCAGTGTGATTTGTATGACTCAGGTCTCTGCTTTGAGATCCTCTATGCCTGAGTTCCTTGGGTTGCTTAGTCAGCTCAGGGATTACTTGGAGACCGTTAACTGGAGACCGAAGAACAGCTTGGCACAGCAACATTTGTTTTTGCGGAAGTATTCGAGATTGGCATGCAACCATTTAGACAGTATCCTTTAGAACATGAACTTCCTACTCATACAACATGTAGGGTATCCAGAGATGTCTCTCTGTTCTTGTAGAGAATGTTCTTTTTAAGAGCCTATAACACTTCTGCAATTAACTTTTGTAGTGTGAATGGTATCAAATTTCATTTTTTAAGATTACTAACTTCCTAATCTTCCAAAGTTAAGATATGTTAAATTACCTGGGATATTTCACAGGTATAGATAACTAATTTATTAACAGGATTTTGTGGCCTTTTCTTCTCTTTTCTGAATAATTAATAATGATAATAGTCTTTTGAGCTTCTTTTCTCTCTTTACACATATACATACATAATTTTATTGAGAGCTTATATGCACTCAGTGTTTGTTAATCACATATTTTTATTTAATCTTCACAGAAATTCTTTGAGATCTCTGTTGTATTATTTCCATCTGATAAGAGAGGAGCTAGGACTCAAATTCAAGCTTGATTCCAAAATCTTGTTAAGAAACCACTTTGCTGTTTATATACTTCTTTAGTTCCCTGGCTTTAACATACCTCCAGATCAGTTTGATTTTTATAGTAGAACTCTGATAGGTTCAATACTGAATACTAAGATAGTGTAAAGGATTTATGTACTACTTCTCACTCATGAACTTTTGATAGCCCAGAGGAGGTAATAGTCTTCGAGAGATTTGAGAATATCCATCTATTGATTAGTGAGGACATTGTTTTCAATATCTTCTCAGTACCTACCTTATTGAAGAGATAAACCAGCTTGATCTTTTTTTCTCTATATTCTTGAGGGAAAATTTTTTGTATTTAAAAAGTTGATATGTGCCTTTTTTTTTAAAGACATTTCAAAGCAAATAATGGAGAAAAGCATGTAGCAGAAAGACCAGCCTCCCAAAATAAAAAACCAAAACCAAACCCATTGCCATTGAGTCAATTCCAACTCATAGCTACCCTATAGGACAGAGTAGAACTGCCCTATAGAGTTTCCAAGGAGCACCTGGTAGATTCGAACTACCGACCTCTTGGTTAGCAGCTGGAGCTCTTAACCACTACGCCACTTATCAGTTTGGACCTCTCTGCATATAAACCTAAAAGTCAAACCCGTTGCCATCGAGTCGATTGCGACTCATAGTGTCCCTATAGTACAGAGTAGAACGGCCCCATAGGGTTCCCAAGGAGCTGCTGGTGAATTCGAACTGCCAACCTTTTGGTTAGCAGCTGAGCTCTATATATATAAACACGATTTTTACATAAATGAGATCATTCTGTACATGCTGTTGTGCAACATGTTTTGCTTTTTTTTTTCCACACTAAACACTGTGCAAGTTCTATGACAATATATGGTTTTTAATGCCTGCATAGGAAGGAGTCCATTGTGTGGATGAATCATAGTTTTATTTTTGTTCTTGTTTTTAACTAGTTTCCTACTACTGGATATTTAGGTGAATACCAACTCTTTTTTTTTGTCCTTCGGCATGCATTTTGAGAACCTCTTCCAGTATCCCTTTAGAATAAATTCCCTTAGCTAGGATTTCTTGAGTTAGAGACTATGCCAAATGGCCCTCCACCAGGGCACAAGGGTGCTCATCCTTTGCTGTGTTCTCACCAACTTTTTTTAGCTTTTTTTACTTCTTCAGTCTAATTGACAGCAAGTAATATCTCATTTTATTTTTAATTCTTTATTAGTGAGCTTGAAAAACCTTTAAGTTGGGTGGTAACCATAGTTTTTCTCCTTTTATGAATTATCTGTTCATGGCTTCTATGCTCTTAAAGCAAAATATTTTACACTGTTAAAGAATATTATTATAAAGAATGCTTTTATTTTGTGGTTAAATAAAAAGAAAAAAGCGGCTCTCTGTAGCAGTTTTTCTTTAAGTTTGAAGAAAAGTTTGTTTTATATTGTTTATAGTTGTTTAAAAGAGCCCTGGTGGCGTAGTGGTTAAAGTGCTTGGCTGCTAACCAAAAGGTCGGCGGTTTGAACCCACGAGCTTCTTCGCGGGAGAAAGTTGTGGCAGTCTGCTTCTGAGAAGATTTGCAGCCTTGGAACCCCTATGGGGCAGTTCTACTCTGTCCTTTAGGGTTGCTGTGAGTCGGAATGGACTCCACGGCAGTGAGTTTTGGTTTTCATAGCTGTTTATCCTTTGGAGAAGGGAGGGAGTTACAATTCCAACCTCCTCAGCATTTTTTTTTTTAAACCTTTGCTGTGAAAATAGATACTTTGATTGGAAAGTGAATGTTTAACTTTGAATATACCTCTGATTAATTTTCAAACAGATATGCATATCACACCTCAAGTTCCTTGCTCATTTCTGCTTGTGGTTTAGACATAAACTGTAAAGTTGTATTTTAAGCTTTCTTTTGATAGGAAGTAATCATTATTAATTGTTTACAACTCTGATTCTTTGAAAGTTTACAGCTTCTGGCAGAATTCGGTTAGGTTCATGTCTTGTGCTCTCGTTGCACACAGGCACAATTTTGAAAAGGAACTTTTTGTTTACAGGATAATGGGGGCAGAGGCAGAAAGTGAGGCGCATATTAACCAAGTTGAAACGTTAAATAAAACTGTTGACTTGGTTAATTGAATTGAATCTGTACTATATCTTTTACTTTTTTCTAGAAAAATACCACTTTAAATTAGATCAGAGTTGTAGGCTTATAGATTTTTCCTCTTTTGAAAAAAAGTCAGCAGGTCAAAATTTTGCAAAAGTTATACCATCTTAGCACAATTAAAAAGATTCACTTGAACAATTTCCTTGAAAGCTCCCTAGAATGTTTTTAGCCATTTTTCTATATTAGTTTTGATCTGAAAAGATTATAACTGTAACAAAACAGAACAAGATGTGTTCTAATGCAATATGTTGCCCTGTATTCTCAAGCTGCTCTTCACTGTGAGCCACAGCTTGGAGATGTTCTTTCAGGAGCACCTGCTGGCTCCTCATCTATTATTTTAACAGATTGTGGAGACTTCCTCTTAACCCCGGAGTACATTCATCTGCTGCAGTAGATGTTGGGAAAGAATGAAATAAATCTGCCAGACCCATATTTCATTTAGTGGCTAAAGTAAAAAACTGCCACTGGGACAGAAGAGTCTTGGATAATGGTCATTTGTTCCTGTATAATTGCCCATGCATGTTTCTCGCTTTCAAAGAATGGTATTTTTGTTGGAGTGCTTGTATTATGTTACTTTGGTGAAGGCTTTAAAAGTTGCTGCTGCTATCATACATGCGATGAGGGAAGTGACAATTCATTGTTTTCCCTGGTAGTGGTGGATGCTTGACTGCTTTCCCGTCGTACGCTTCTCAGCCTTCATTCGGATTGGCATGGAGTAAAGAAACATTTTTGTGCTTCAGTCTATTGAGTTTCATTTACAGTTTGAATTTTTATATTAAGCATGTGAGAGCTAATGTATAAAGAGATTGTCAGCTCTAAGGTATACCCTGTAATTTTCAACTCTTATTTGCTTTATATGTCTTCTTTTTGACTAAATCTGTCTCCAGGGGTCCTAGCTTGCCTGGATGGCTACATGAATATAGCCCTGGAGCAGACAGAAGAATATGTAAATGGACAACTGAAGAATAAGTATGGGGATGCATTTATCCGAGGAAACAATGGTAATATTCCTTCACTGTACAGTTGTACAACATCCAAAATAGCCTTTTTAGTTATAATCAGATCACCAGAGAGTTTTCTAGATAATTTGAAGGTTTGGTTTCAGTTTTGCTTTGTTTTTTTGTTTTGTTTTGTTTTTAATGCTTATATCTCAGATCTTTGGTGTGACCAGTTCTTCCTTACGTGTTTCATAGAATTTTGGAACTAGAAATTCTCTCCTTCCCTCCTTTAACTGATGAGGAACATGGGTCTACTGCCCCGAGCCCCGTTTTCTTGAATACGGTTTATATATCCCCCCCACCGCCACGTATCTCCTGCATCTTACAGCCTGGAAGTGTGAGTGTAAGAATGGGCACTGTTTCCCTGCTATCTTTGGTTGCATAATTTGGTTATTAGGTTTTCCTATCTGTCCTTTCTCTGTTAAACATTCAAATGGTTTTTTTGTGTTTAACAGAAAATTTGCACCTTTTAGTTTGGCAAAAATGGCAAAATAGAAAGTACAGTTCTAAAGCTAACTCAACTTTAAAAGCTAATACAGTGCTATGATTTTATTTATGGAACTTCATGTAAAGACACAAATTGCTACTAAAGTCATATTTGATTTTTTTGTGGGAGGGCTAGGGGGGACCAAATTTATGGGAATTATCCATTGACCCATGCCCACTTTTTGGTCCCATCCCCCAAATGGAGCACTGGGACTCTTGAGTTCAGATTTATTATTAACGTGTGCTCTTTCTTTCCTCCTTTTTCATATTGTTCTCATTTTACTTCCTCCATTTACTGAGAAACATTATAATCTTGTCCCATCTCTAGACAGCTGATAGCAGCAGTCAGCTGCAGGTTCGGTTAGTGGTTATGGGGTATATCCTCTCTCTTGCACGCTCTGTCTAGGACTTAGCCACTTTTCCAGAGGTGTTTTATTGCCATTCTAATGCTTCCTTTCATATAACCTTTCTGTGATTATTTTTAGACTCCCAAATTCACTTGTCTAGGTGCTTTCCTTGGGTCTTAAAGAGGATCCTGAATTATTTAATTAATCTATGCTGTGTTCTTTGACCAAGACATCTCTTTATGTTCATTTTCAACAAACTTGTCAGAATCTGAGTAGGTGTGGACGGGGCAGGGGGCGGGGTACCTCTGATGAAAGTGTGACCAGAATGACTCAGTCACCAAATTTAGTCTTTTTCCTTATGTACCACATGTCCTAACAAGTTCCATTTGGGTGGTTACAAGGGGACTAGCTGCACGAAACTTTGAATGACACCGAAGGTTGTGACTCCAACAAGGAACTCTGATTAAGGACTTTGGTAACTTAAAAAAAAAAAATACCTCCTCATATCTCCTCAGCTCTTGTGTATCCTGTTGCAATTAAAAAAGGTAAACAGCAAGTTTAGAATCTATACTGGGAAGATAGATGAAAAATATGTTATTTATTCTTAATCTGAAATCTAGTCTGATAGATTTACTTTCCTAAAAGCATAATTATTATACAAGTCACCACCAGTTTGTCGTACCACAGTGGCTTGCAGGCTGCTATGATGCTGGGAGCTATGCCACCAGTATTACACATACCAGCAGGGTCACCCATGGTGGACAGGTTTTAGCAGAGCTTCCAGACGAAGACAGACTGGGAAGAAAGGCCTGGCAGTCAGCTTCTGAGAATTAGCCAGTGAAGCCCCTGTGAATCACAACAGAATATTGTCTGATACAGTGCTGGAAGATGAACCCCTTAGGTTGGAAGGCACTCAAAATACAGTGGCCGCAGTAATGGACTTGAGCATACCAACAATTGCGAAGATAGAGCAGGACCCGGGCAATGTTTCATTTTATGTTGTACGCAGGGTTACCATGAATTGGAGCTGACTTGGCTGCAACTAACAGCAACAACAATTATAAAGCATTCTTAGATTCCAGGGTTTTTCACATTTATTTTATTTTCTCTTCTTGGTCACAATTTGCAGAGTCAATGAGATGTATAGTTAAGACTAGTCACAGTCCTGTAACACATCAAACCCAGGTCTAGATTCATAAAAATAGTCTTAAAGTAGCTCTAGAATTTACTATCTTGTATGAAAATTCAGGGAGCCCTGGTGGCGCAGTGGTTAAAGCGATCGACTGCCGACCGAAAGATCGGCTGTTCAAAACCACCAGCAGCTCCACGGGAGAAAGATGTGGCAGTCTGCTTCCGTAGAGATTTACAGCCTGGAAAACCCTATGGGGCTGCTTACTATGAGTCGGAATCATCTCGATGGCAGTGGTTTGTGGGTATGAAAATTATTTTTAAAGTTGCACAGGTACAGCCCAAAACTTTTTGCTTTTAAATTTTGCTGCTCTGATACTTAAGAGCATTTTTTCAATTTATTTTTTTTTTCTTTTCAGTGTTGTACATAAGTACACAGAAGAGAAGGATGTGAAGACCCCAAGAGAACAATACTTTCATACTTGGATATATTTTTTATGAAATTTTTTTTCTATTTTTAGGTTCTTTTATTATATAATTTGTCCTGTTTTCACAATATTTGGTGGTTTTTCACTGATATGGTGGTAAGAAATATGTATAAAATTGTTGAATTTAACTGTAAAGAGTTCTTTCACACTTGAGTTTCATACTTTTCTTACATGTCAGTGTACAGAATGCAAAAAGAATAAAATAAGACAAAATCTGTTTCTTCTGCAGGGTTATTTAACATAAGTTTCAAGCAGTGTCATTTGATTTGATTTGCTTTACTTATTCGGTTGCTAAAGTGATGTACATAATGAACATATGCCTGAAACCTTTTAGAGATGTCCTCCTCTGTCTCATCATCTTCTGTTTATCATACAAAATTCTGGAGTGAAAAATGTTCTCCGAAGACATCGAGTTTCAGCCTGAGGCTATAAATAGTGTCCATGAGGTCAGAAGTTCCGTAGCTGATTCAGTCACCTACATTGAAAATAGAATTGAAGATCCAACAGTGGCACTTCCACAAAGAGTGGGAATCCAAACTGAGTTGGGGGAGAAGTTACAAAGATTAACAGTGTGCCAGCCCGTTGCTTTCAAGTCTTTTCCAGCTCTGAACAATGCTACAGGACAGAGTAGAACTGACCCATAGGGTTTCCAAGACTGTAATCTTTATGGAAGCAGACTGCCACATCTTTCTTCCATGGAGCAGCTGGTGGGTTCGAACTGCCAACCTTTCAGTTAGCAGCTAAGTGCTTAACCACTGTGCCACTGGGGCTCCTTAACAGCATGCCAGTTAGGTGGAACACCTATTGAAGTCAGGTCTGTCTGCAGTCATCTGGCAGCTCCTCCTTTGCAGTTAGATATTTTAGATTTTCTTGCTCTTTCTTAGGAGTGTTGACGTTCTAAGTTATTCTCTGATTTTATGAACACAACATTTCCCTGGCAGTCATTTAGATTAAAGCACAGCCTGGAGCTGATAAACTCCTTCAGGGTGCAGTTGCTAACCTGTGATTGGAATAGAATTTCTCCTAACTCTCGCTTAGTGAGTGGTTTTAGGGAAGGTTTCCTCTAAAATCAGAGCCGAGTTTGAGTGTAACATTGTCCAGGAGCAGAGCACCAAGCATTCATGGTGCTTGGCATGAGGCTGCTCCTCTGGGTTATGTGACTCCTGTTGAGAGGATTTTCACAATTTATTAATGAGCTTTCCACAACCCTGTTTTTTTCTCTGAACAGTTTTATGCTGTCTCTAGCAACAACAAATACATCTGGGCACTGTGGTTGAATGAACAGCAGACAGTTGTGTGAACATTGTATTGGCCTTCCTCTTTCCTCCCTCCCAAATCTAAACAATTCCTGTTTCAAGACCCTGGGGTGTGATTTTAAACAGTTGCCTGGTTGCGGATGTTGGGGCAGGATAGAGAGAGGGAGGGAAGAGTGGTACTGGTTGTGGAGAGGTGCCATGTGGCGTTTTTTTATTTTAAGGATCGAAGAGTAATTGGAAACAACTGTTTTTTAATTAGTAACTCGAAAGGTGAACAGAAACATTTCAGAAGACTTTAACTGTGTGCACACTGAAAATAAAACACTATGCTATGCTTCAGTAATTTATCACTTCTTGACGGGCTGGAAAAGGGTCCAGTCTGTAAGTATAAATCACCAATTTGTTCTTTTATAAATGACTTCTTTTAAGGAGAAAATGGATGCCCCTCCAAGTGGAGCGTGCATGTTCTCATTTGTTTTGTAGAATATGTGGGGCTGCCAGGTTACCGTGTCCCTTCATTCACTTACATCAGCCGCATCTAAAAGCAGTTCCATTGTTGTGTCCCACCAATCTGTAGCATCCTATTTTTGCTGACTTCCTTCCTGACCTCCCCTTTGGCATATACATCTTTATCTTCTCCTTGCCATCTCTCTTCTAATAGCTGTATGGTGGAGGAGTGTTTTCAACCATGGAACCACTTTTAATCAAGATCAGCTTTGGGAAGTGCTACCATTTTTATGGTAATAAAGGACTTTATCATGCACTTGTACCAGCGCAAGTTGTCCCCTGTGTATACCTTCACGCAGAGCCATGAAACAAAGTGTAAATGCTCAAATTACTTTCTTCTTAACTGTAGTCTGCTAGAGGTCAGTGGATGATTCCAGTCACATTGTAACAAAGACGCTAATTCTAGGTTGAAGAGGTTTTCACTTGAGTAAATACATTTTCCCTGTCTCAGTGCCCCCAAACCCCGGTTGCTACGCTCTTTCTCTTGGGCTGTGGTAAAACAGAAGGTTTAGCAAGAAAACGTTGTGCTTGATTTTCAGACTATCTGACTTCACGTTCTGTTTTAGTCTTTTGAGCTATTTCTTGGCTAATCTTCCAACAAGTTGAATTGATTCTTCAACACTGTTTATCCCAAAACAGAGCTGTTGACAAGTACAAATACAGATGGCAGACATGTGGTACGATTTCCATGTTCTCGTCGCAGCGTTAAGGGAATGTTACTGAGAGATGGTTTACATCTTAAGCTTTTGTTCAAGGCAATATGGAACGCATGCTAGCAGTGCTTAATTACGTGACAAATGGTAACAAATGTTTAAGGGTTTCCTGAAACGTCTGAAAACACAGCAGCATTGACTTGGCATGTACGGTTTATCACCCTGGAGGCTGTGATAATCTATAAGAATAGAAGCAACCTCTAGGGGGAAAAATTGTCGTTCATAATCACACTGACTCTCAGGTGACCTTAGTGCAGCATTCCAGGCCAAAAGTCCAGTCTGTGTTCCCTTACAGGGGACAGACACGCCCATCCTTGCACTGACCTCTGTCCCTGGAGCCAATGACCCTCCAGAGGATTGGCTGGCTCTTTTATTCAGAGGCTAATCCCAGCCTGCGCTGTGGCCAGAGCTATTGTCCACAGCTAAATTGTGCGTTAACTGATTTTTCTCTTTGCACAAAAAGAAATGCTTGGTGGGAGGAAGACAACTGCGTTTTTCTCGCCCCACCTTGTTTTAGGAGGCCCTGTGCTCAGCAGCACACCTGACTGCAGTCCTTCGCTAAGGTTGCCTCTGACCAATGCTGAGCCAGACTCCACCTGAAAATTGCAGGCTTAGCCCTGACCTCTGTGGGGTCCAGATACCCAGCAACTCTGTTTATTCCAATAACTGCTGCCTGATTGTACCGGTACACAGCAGGGCCTCGGGTCCTGTCTCCATTGTCTACTGACCAGCTTGACTCACCAGTCGGAGTCCAGTTAGCCGAAGTCGGGGTAAATGCAGGAGTGGACAGGCAAGGATGGTGCGTGCCATATGTGACAGGACAGTGGAGGTAACCCTAGCTGGTATCTGCTGTTGGTCATTTAACCTGCTTCCCTCCTTTGGGAAATATGGGAGGTGCCCAAGTAGTGGAGATTTGAGAAAGTGGTAGCAGAAATCAGTGTAACATTTATTGCATGGTAGCTGTAGGCATCAGTCCCCTTTCCAGATGTGGAGTAGAAGAGTACATATGACACTGTTCACTCCCCTGTTTGTAAGGTTTGGGTATTTATGTAGGAAAGTGGCATTGTGTAATACTTTTTTTTTTTTTTAATTGGGACAAAATTGTGAGAATTCTTTTTAAAATCTTAACACTCTTCTACGTGGATTTGATAATCTCAGCTGTATGCTCACATTTTGAAATTATGGATAATCTCACGACTTGAACTGGATAATTTTGAGTCCCTACAGGCTCATGGGATTCAACCTCCCATCTTTATACTTTGGGTTTTTCACTGAGCAAAAGCCAGATTTCCTATTGTTTAACTGAACAGCCATGTAGAATTTTTTTTATTTGAAGACCAGTTTTGATTCATCTGCAGTATTGAAGGATTTTTTTTTTCTTAATTGGTAATAATTTGGGAGTTAACAGCAGACAGAAAGGTGGACATTCTAGGAACTTAATAAAACCATAAAACATTGAGCAGTTGGGATAGAGCACTGTAGTTTTAGAGACCTAGTTTACAAAAATGTTCAAGTCCATCTGGACTCCATTTATTCCAAGTTTTATAATGGAATGGATGCTGGTGGGATGGCAAAATATTGAACCAATAATTTGGTTTAAAGGAGAGACCAATTTGAAAAGTTTAAATAATTTTTAGAAAAAATAGTTTTACTACCATCATGTGCATACAGCATTGCAAATCACTATTCGATGTTTACACCAAATAGAAGCCCTACTGAATTTAGAATAAAAAACTTAAAATTTGTAGTTAGCATATATACAGTTGAGTGGAGGTTGCTAGGACATGGGACCAACTTTTTTAAAAACTGTATCAGTCACAACCACAGAATCTGAGTGGTTTGAAACAAATGATTCTTGCTCATGCTACACATGCACACCGGCCGGTAGGTGGGACTCTGCTCATTATGGTCACCTGGGGACTCAGGCTGAGGACACAGCTCAACACAAGGACTCAGGGTTTACTGCTGCAGGGGAAGACAGAGAATCACACCCTGGCTCTTAAAGGTTTGTGCTTAGAAGTAACACTAGTCGCTTCCATTCCATTTTATTAACCAAAGCGAGTTACATGGCCATGGTTTAAGTTGTCAGGAAAGTGTAATTCTTTCGTGGGCCCAGAAGGAGAGAAACCCAGAAGCTGGCTGTACCGGTGAGCTGTGGTAACGTCTACCACAGCATGTTAGCCATGTCCTTCGCGTTGTCGTTTTTCTTAACGCCCCTTCATAGAGCATACAGAACATGCCCAATCCCAAACTGCAGGGTCTCCTTGAGATTTTACTGCATTGAAAAAAGAATCCTTTCTTTGTTTACACTGGGGCGAGAGAACTATGTTCCTGCTGCCTTAATCATGGTTCTTCATTAGATTTCCCAGAAAAACTGTGACTGTGGTTCCTTCCATGGCTTCAGAGGCTGACTCTAAGTAGTGTGGTTCGGTTTTGTCATTGCAGGATACCATACAAATTTCCATTTATTTCTAGGTTTAAAAGAAACTGCAGAAGGTAAGAAAAACCTTTCCAAAGACCAGGTAAGCATTATCTCAAGCCAAACAAATATGTGCTCTACCCACGTAGTGTGCTCTGTGTAAAATGTTTTCAAAGGCACAGGGTATATTACTTCTGAAATTTACCTTATCACTTTTCATACATTATGTTTACATGGCTCTTTTCAGTATGTTTGAAACCTTTACAACCCTCTTTATCCTGAAAGAGTGAATGTGCTGCCTCGACAGAACAGTTTGATTCTTTTTCTAA